CTCAAAGGTGCCACAGGACCCTCTGTTGCTTTTTACAGATTCAGACTAACACGGCTACCCCTCTGATACCTTCTCCAGACCATTCACTATTCTGCACAACTTTGTCATGTCACCTCTTATTCATTTCCTCTCTACAGTAAAACCCAGTCTTTACAATTGCATCTAATCATTCCACTGCTGCTACATACTTTTGGATGCAGGGTGGCCAGAACTAAATCGCCCTAACCATTGGAATAGTGTGTTACCACTGATTTACACCTGGCATTACAATATTTTCAGTATTTCAATCCCACATTGTAACATTTTGGGGGGGGGGGGGATCACAGCATCATATTGGCCAGAAGTTTTCATTTTGCTGTCCACAATGACCCCCAGCTCTCTTTCCTGAGTGATTATATATAGTTGAAACCCCGCAGTATATACCAATACTTCAAAGTATTCATTCTAATGTATATTATCTTGCATTGGTCAACAATGAATGTAATCCACCATCATGCTGCCTACTCTCCTAGTTTTGTCTGAAGTTCTTCCATCTTCTCTAGCCAATGTCTAATCCACAATAGCACTTTACTTAATCAAAGGATTTTTGAAAAAGTCTAAGCAAGTTATAGCAACTGGTTTTCCTTTATCTTTTTATTTTGTTGAAATGCTCAAAGAATTCAAACAGATTAGTGAGGCATGATTTGCTTTTGCAGAAGTTATGTTGGTTACGCCCTGTTACATCTAACCATCTAGATGTTTTATAATTCCATTTCAGGGTATGGGTTTCAGCCATTTTATCTTACGTCAGGTTCATCCCAATGCCTTTAAAAATAAATAGGTACAACCTTTGTGATCTTCCAACCCTTCAGGATAATAGCTGATTTTAATGAGATTGTTAACAGTTCTGCCACTTCATTAGTCCCTTCTGAACTTCTTGTTCTTTAATTTGTCACTCTGTTCTAGCACCTCCTTTGATTTCAGTCTCTGACAGAACTTCATTTTTGTTACCTGAAAGGGGTAGAATGTATACCACCAGTAGGCATTTTCCTAAAAACCCCTGTTCAGGTTGACTGAGCTCCAGGTTAGCTACCCACTGTACTAAAATCTAATTCTAATTCTGCCACTGGCCTTAAAGCATGGTCTAGGGCAAGACACAATCTGTCTGCTTCAGTGTCCCCACGTATAAAATGGGGGTAATACCTGCCTTACGAGGGTATTATGAGGTCTAATTTATCTGTGTTTGTGATTTAAACCTGTGAAAAGCAATAGCAGTGCTAAGTATTACTGCTGATACGACACTCCATTCAGTCATCCCAGTGCAGAGGACCCCTCACAAAGACCCAGAGATACTTAAATCCTTGCTTAGCGCTGACTTTAAAAGCTTAAGTGGGGGTTAAGTTCCCTGAAGAGCCTTGCACCAACTCTGCTCAACAGGGTGAATTTCAACTTTGGCCCAGTGCTTAAGCATGTAAAACTGACATTTATAAACCTAAGCACCAACGTAAGTGTCCAAATGCAAGATTTGCTGCCCTGAGTAGGGGCCCACACTGGAAAATCAAGCACATAATCAGTGTCAGTGGAAAAGGCAGATTTTATGGCCAAAGTAGACTGTGTCCGCACATGTTTTACAGACATCTTGAATTTTAACAAAAAGCTATAAGTAATGTTTGTTTAATTATTAATGCCCAAGTCCAAGAATAGTTTAATTACATCTTCCTCTGATTCTTAATAAAGTCTTTTAAAACTACCCTCAAGGGCTATGTTTAATAGGCATTGAATGCAGATGCTCCTGTGCTTCCGAAGCATGTCTGAACAATTTCATTTTAGCAGAATGGTTAATGGGGTGAACCAGCCTCTGCTGGGCACATTCACCCAGTTTACTGGAAGTTTACTAAAAGTCCACCTTCTTTTGCCTTTTCTTCTCCAGGTCAGAGGTTCTGAAGCTTCAGCTTCCTTCAAGAGGCAGCACAAAGCAAAAAGAAGGAGCAGCACTACTGGATGGAAAACACTGCTTATCTGCTGTGCAACTGGATCGAAGCTCACCCACTGGGGGAGCAGGGATGTCAGAGAATGGTATAGAGAATCCTTATAAGTGCAAAATCCCTAGTTATTCTATTTTCTCAATGATGTGTCAGATTCTCAGCAGACAAACCAATATTTGCTTTAAAGATTTTCAACAATCAAAGCCACAGACTAATTCTAATGAATTTTGAAACCTTAAATAAAAAGTCAGCTTCCCCTCAAAAAATGTCTTATGTTTATTAAAAACCTGAACATGTCACTTGTAACTAACACTCAAAAGAATCACCTGCTTTTTAGAATTCACTGGACCAGAGTGACTTTTTTTTCTTGCTTATTAGTAAGTGGTCTTAGCTGCTGTGTGAATAATACCCGAGAACTTCAAGTTACAGTTAATATTCCACACAGACTCTTTGAAAACTACCTTATCCCCTATGTAATTTTGAATGATCCAACTGGTTTAGAGCATGTAATGCTAACTGCTGCTATAAACATGCCGTTTTGCTGCAATTTCCCCTGGGAATTGCATGTACTACGGTGTGAAAGTCTCGTAAAGCCATTAGGTCTCCCAAGACTGGCTCTAGTTAATAATTACCCAGAATACCACTGGACTTCTACAGAGGAAAAAATTATAGGGACTCTGGATGGGATGACAATTTTGTTGGCTCGTTTACATGCTGTCATGATGAGAGCCATTTAAGAAAGCTGTCTTATTATCCTAAGGTCCTTCATCCTGGTAATGGTTTATATGCCAAGTAGACAGCAATTGCAAACTTAGAGCTTGAATTTCTCTTAGTGGTGTTGGACACATCTACAGCCAAATTAAGACAAATGTCAGGCTGCTTAGGAATTAACCATGAGCAAGAAATTGTGCTACAGAAGAAATCCATTGAGAAGAGATTTGGAGGTGAACAGCTAAATTTGAGGTCTGAAGTGTGTGCCTGGAAGTGTGATACAATAATGCCCTCCAGAGACTGAGAGAGATGTCATCAGTGTCCTTGATTATAAAAAATGAGCAGGTATTTTGTTCTGCTAGAGTGCAGCTGTGCGTATGAGTGTATGTTAGGTAATAAGAAGTGCTTCTAGCATGATTTTCTAAAGGCATCTCTGTACTTTTAATTTGAGTTGAATATAACAAAACAGCTAGCATAGGCCTGATCTGATTGCTTTGTGGCAGTGACTCTGTACTACCATGTGAGAGACTTAGACTATAGCTACACTACAGAGCTTTACAGCGGTGCAGCTGTGCCGCTGTAGCACTGCTAGTGCAGACACTCTAAGCTGACGGGAGAGAGCCCTCCTATTGACTTAACTCCAGCCCACATGGGCAGCGGTTGCTAGCCGACCTAGAACTGTCCACACTGGCGTGTAGGTCAGTGTAACTTATGTTGCTCAGAGGGGTGGCTTATTCACACTCAAATGAGGTAACTTATACCGACGTAAGCTGAAGTGTGTACATAGCCTTAGACTAGTTGTTCAACTGCACTCAGGAGATGGGTAGTTCAGACCATGCACTGATCAACGTCTTCTCGAACAGACTGACGGGAGGCCCTTAAAAGTCTGTAAGTGGTGTCCCATCCAATTCTCTGCTGGAAAGATTATGGCCTTTACATAGGCTGTTTATGATGGGGTGGGGGTGAGCTGAGAGAAGGTGTAAATCCTCAGGTCTCCCATGGAACACATTTGCATAAGTGAAAAGATCTTTACTAATGGATCTAAGATCTGTACACATTCACAACCACCCAATTTTTACATGTGCTATTTTAAAATCCTGAAATTCTAGATGAAGAGCTGACCAGAGATTTGCAAAATATTCAAATGCAAAAATACTTGACATTTCAAAATTTTCCACATTGTTAGGAACTAAAAAATGAGCCCATTTTCACACAACATTTTGCTAAAGTAGGCACATTTGTAATGCAAAGACAGGCCTCATTTCCAAGCTAAAATAACCTATATTTCTAGTTTAAATGTCTTTCCTATCAAGAATGATACAAAAAAAATCATATTCACACCTTTACAATATGAAAATAGACATTTTCTCCAGTAAAGACCAATTTGGGTGTGCAAGTACAGGAGTGACAAAAATCACTCAGAATGAAACTGGAAAGTTAAACAAACAAAATTAGTCAGCTTCACACAGCTCTAGGGTTGGCAGGTAATATGATTTCATGCATTACAGATGTATTTTTGTAGGTCTTTTATAAATTTTAATTTCTCATTGCAGAAGAGTATGTGTAACTATTGTTGAACAACATGTGATTAGAGAATTGGATTTAACAAGCCTGAGAATATTTGTCTTATGCAATTTATATGGCTGTTCAGAGTGCCATGTAAGAAATTTCACGTCTCTCTGGTTTCCAGTCCTAATAACCATAGGCAGTAAAGGACATGTAAAAAGTAGCGTCTGCTATGTCATTCTATTGTGATGACAGTAGTGGATGTGTAAGTGGACATGTTCATTTAGAGAAAGTGGCATTTCCATGCATGGAAGAAGTAATAAGTAGTGGTTCAAATGTGCAGGCATTAGGGCTGCTTGAAAGTTTGTGTCCTTCCTCCTCACCCCCGATTTGTAAAGAGCTAATCTGTGTATCACACATGGCATATGCGACACTGACTACTAGAACAAACTAACATCAGTGGCTCATCAACAATTCTGCTACCCCCACAACCACTGTAACCAGGATCCCTTTTCTGTTACACTCCATTAGCAAGATAATATAAGTGATTATGCAAAAATGTGTACTACTAATGTATCACAGATTGAAGATCTGAAAGGAATTCTTTGTTTTGGCAGTGGGAAGAGTTCTGAAGGAAAAGCAGTTCTAGGAAGTTAACTTGCGTAGCATTAAGCATTGCGATATAAATGTACAGACACTATGTAATACTGAAGGGAACCAAGGTTTATTCCTGCTCAGCAGATGAATTATTGATTATGGTAACCCATCAATTAGGTAAATGGAACTTCATTTGAAGGCAAATTGGATTAGCATGCCACTGTCCAGTATTTTTAAAAAAATAACTAGAAACCAGGCTGCCGTTTTTAATTGTAGAAAATATACCTGACAGAGGAGCTGGTATCGTATCATTTAGGCTTGTAGCCAGGTAAAAGATTAATGTATTGGCCTGCACGTATGTGCAACAACACTGCCCTCTAATGGATAGAATACAGTACATCAGACCTACCCAAATGTTTGTGATTACAGCCCTTCTGCCAATAGAGGGTGAGGCAAAGGGATTACATAACAAGCCCTACCACTAGTGCCAACTAATGGATATTGTTCTTTAAACTTGAGCAGAAGAGGTCTGTATCTTGAGGATGGCTGAATTTTATTTCCTGGACTGCGTGAACATTGTAGTCTATTGTAACAAACCTATAGGCAGCAGCCTACAGCACAGTTTGGGTGCCAACTGAAATAAAATTCAAGTCTACAGACTATTATATTAATCTTCCACTCTCCCCCACACAAGTAGACACAGAAGTAGCTAAGATTAGAACTCTGGTTCTTCAATTCCTAAAACACAAGCCTCTACCACTTGAGCTCGAGCCTTTAGCTGGTTGAAGCTGCAGATCTCATATCTTCTTTTCAGGCCTGCCTCTAGAGGGCACCATCACTTGTTCATACACACAAAGCTAATACCTTACACTAAAAACACTAAGTTCCTGAACAGACTATAACTAAATGTGCACATACATTGTACTTGAAATGCTGTTTAAGGTTTAAGAACTTTATATTTGTGAGGAAATAAGCTTTATAGATTGTTTATAGATGGTTTGACTTGATGACTTTGTGGGATAAGGTGCGTGAGCTCATATCTTTTATTAGCCCAACTTTTGTTAGTGAAAGAGACAAACTTTCAAGCTACACAGCTCAGAAGCTTGTCTCTTTCACCACCAGAAGTTGGGCTAATAAAAGATATAATTTCACCCACCCTGTCTAATATCCTGGGACCAACATGGCTACAACAACAACACTGCAAACAACAATTGCTAACTACTGAAACCGTGCATTTTAATGATCTGACACTGCCCTTTAGTAAAACAATTCAAAATTAAAGACTACATTTAAATTGATTTAAACTGATGTAAATTCAGGGATTAATGCTCAGAACAAAACTATTGCTGATGCTGCCTACTAAATATTTGTTTGCAGTGGATCAAATCTTAGAACCACTAATTTTATGTCAGATGCTGCTAAAAAGCTATGGGAGTATTTTTGTGCTATTATGTGAATATGCCATTTCCCTCTTAATCATGTTAGATTTTAAAGTGATTCACTTTCACCTAAATAGGTGGAGTTGAGAATTAAGTATCCAAAAGGTGATGAGCATGACCAAGCTTTAGCTCCAGCTAAGTGGCTGTTCTTTTCCCCAGTGGAAGATCAGATGTTCCGTTCTGTGGAGGGCCAGGCTGCCTCAGATGAAGAGGAGGAGAAGTGGATAGGGGACCAGCAATCCCAGGTGGCTGAATTGAAGAAACTTCTGGACAGGGTTCCCTGTTGTGGAAGTGGGTATGTTTCATGGAGATTAGTGTTTAGGCTTTGGTTGTCCCGTTGCAAATTGTATCGCATGATCTAAAAGATTTCAGAAGTATTGTGGCTTTAGTAAGAAGCCATAAAACTATTTCACAGAAACAAAAGATAGCAATCCCCCAGTCACAGGACACAGACTGGGTGTAATATACCCACCTGATCCTTACAGGAGTCAGAGAGGAAAGTGAGGTATTGGGGAGTGGAGGGGGAAGGTATGTGCATGTGTCTAAACTTTACTCAATGCTAGAGAAGAAAGTAAAAAGAGGTCCACATGCCAGAGGGAAATCTTTCTCAACACCCATACCCCAACATGTCACATAAGTCTTTATTGCATAAACAATCATTATGGATTAGAATTCCTTCTGGGAAATCTCCCCCTATGCTCCAGAAAAGATCTTTTCCATCATAATCCTCCTTCCAGTAAAGCCATGGGTGAATAGGCTTTCCAGTCTGCCCCCAGTCTCTTTCCAGCTGTTAGTTCCGGCACCTCAGCTGATCTCAGCTGGCAGCTAAGAGGAGATGGGAAACCAGCATAGTAGGGACCCAAACCATAAAGAACTCTATAGGTCAAAGTCACCAGTTTGAATTTATGAGATGCCAGGAGAACAGCAGGAAATCAGTCAAAGCTCTTAAGCAGATTGACCTTGGCTGGGAAGTTTCACTAACTTTTCTTTTTAAAACATAGATGTGATGACAAAATGGTGAAGAAACTGATGTCTTATTTTGAGAGCACCAATAATGATGACCATGAGAATGCCACTGTGGAGCTAGCGGAGAGAATCACCACGTTAACTGAACAGCTTGAGATGAAAGGGAATGAAGTGAAAAAACTGGAAACAAACATGAAGGAGGTAATAAGTGTAAGGTTTACATTATTTTATGTACACACAGGATTCTTTTCATAAATATTTTAAATACTCATGTTTTGTATTTACATCTAATTTTTGTTAGCTTTCAACCTTGTTGATGCCTCACCACAATGTCATCACTTCAGGAGCGGGGCCACATCCTAGCTTTCCATGGCAACAGCACTTCCAATATGACTATTGCATAAACCTCCATGGATCTGAAGGACTATACTTGTGCGACACAGGCCATTTTAACAAAATAATGTATTTAAAATTCTGTCAGATATCCATGTGGATTTAATAGCTGGAAAAGGCACAGGACTGATAGCTCTGGAGAACAGAGTGCAGAGAGTAGGTGCAGAAAATACAAGGTTCCCCTGTGGTATCTCAGCACGGGGTGAAAGGCTCCACATATCCTATTACCAATCTTCTGACCGGTCCCCCAAAATAACCTTTTAAAATAACCTCCAGTTGGCTCAGTTGCAAGTGCTCAACTTAGGTTAAATCTTGCAGCTCACTGACAGAAGGAAAATCTCAACCTCAGCCTTGGGGGGCTGGGGTTACCTCAATTTCTAGTGTGGACATAACTTCAAGGTTCCAAAGACACAATGTGTTGTCTCAGTATCTTCACCTAATCTTATTTAAATGCACAAAACCTCAGCTACTCATCTGTGTAAATGCCACCAGTCTTTCCCTGACAGAGGTATTTAAAAGTAATGAATACAGAACATGGCCCAGATAGTCATCTGTACAACAGAGGAGCAAGTAAGTAGCATTTAATACCTTGGTAGAGATGGAGGGGGGAAAAGGGGAGGAGGAGAAAATATGGTCATAAACTGCCTTACAACTTGCCCGATTGAGTATGGCAATTCATTTGTTTCTATGTCAGAAATTGTGAATACTATAAAAATGTTATCACCTCACATTGTTTTAGCCTAATTGGTTCCAAAGTTTCATCTGCTTCACAACCAAAAACTGGCTGTTTTATGCTCCTTTGCTCAAAAGAAGTTGTGGACTTTAGTGTTTTGGGAATGATTTTATTAACCACTAAGGTCTGTTTAAATTCATAGCTTAATCTTCAACTTTTCTGCATGTTGCCACTCAGTGGCTTTATCAAGTTTTCTGTTTCAAGGACATGATCTCCCCTCCCACCCCCACACACAATGAAATTTGCTGAAGTGGAAAAGTGTGGATAATGAAAGGCAGACATACTTGCACCTGGTACAATGTACTGGCGACTGAATACTGTCAGTACACTGGGTTCTATGACAATGTATCCCTGTAATATTACCTAGGTTAATGGAACGCTTTGCTTCTGTGCTGCTTAAACACCAGCCACATAAAAAGCTAAATCCACTCTGTTCTTACTGATGGTAGCCATGTTTACCTCTTTTCCTTGCCTTCCACTCACACTTTTAGATGTATGCATCTTCCTTTTGCAAAGCTAGGAATGTCCTGTTGCCTGCTTTGTAACCTCTGCTGATGGATAACGAGTTCTGTGTAACTTGCTCAGAAAAGGCCCATTATAAATTTTCAGTAGTTATACTAGAATTCCAGAATAAAAATATCAGCTTTTCTTAAAAATCATACAAAAAAAAGAGAGATAAACTTCACATTGATTGTAGCATAACCACAAATTTAAAAATCAATATTTGTGAATCAATTTACTTTTGTCATTACAGTCCAGGTTACAGTCCATTACAGTCTAGATTATTTACAGTTCATCTAATGTACTGTATATCGCTGGTATGAAGGCATAATTTTAGTTGGTTGATTAGCTTGGTGCTACTGCTGCTACAAAGCTCTTTGGCATTAAGAGATAGTGATCTTAAAAGGATCAAAGATCAGTTTTGAAAAAAGTGAATGCTCAGCTGAACTTTCTAAATCCATAAAAAGTGTGCAGGAAAACTCTTAATACCCTCTCTCACCAAATTAAGTACATTTCCTGGTTTAATAAAGAAATCAGTGAGAACAAGCTGTCACTTTCCATGGTGTGTTGGGGAAGCTAGCACACAAATAGCAACAGGCTCTGTTATTTAGATTTACAAAAACAATTCTGAAAGATCACACAAACAACATCAGCAGGCAGGTGAAGAGCAAGAGCCGCACATATTGACCAACCATTGATCCAATCTAAGACTACAAAAAATAGAAGATTAAAGAGGAGCTCATTTTGATTCATTTTATAGTGAGCTCCAATTCTCAATAACTGAAAAGTCTAAATACCATCTACCAAGGAGAGGTAAATGAAGGTGTCAGGCCTAGATGAAAGACTGAGGAAAACATGAGAAAATTCTAAAGCTATAGCGGCACTTTACAAAGCTTTGTGCTATGAACAAATGCCTCAGTTTTGCAAGGCCAGATTAATCAAAAAGTAGAGAATTAATTTACACCTGTCAAAAATGCGCCCTTGTATGCAAATAGGTAATCATGCAAGAATATTTCCAAGCACAAGTGCGAGTTTGCACATTTAGTTATGTCTGCATGTGCTTTTCTCTCTCTCTCTCTTCTTTTTTTTTTTTAGTACATACAGATGGAAATGAGCCCCCACTTTTGAGACTGGTCCAGAGTTTTCAAATAGGGACAATTCACTAGCAGATTCTATACCAAACAATGATGAACATAGAAAGAAAGGAGTTCTAGTAAGAAACTAAATTGCCAAACATTTATCAAATCTCTATATCCTGGCTTTGTGTTTGGGTTTTTCTGTCACACTCATCATGTCAGTATGTGAGCACCCCATAAGTAGTAATGAATTTTACCCCATGAGGTAAGGAAGTATTTTCCCCATTTCACAGATGAGACAGATTGAGCGACATGCCCACAGCAAACCAGAAAGTCTATAACAGAGCTGGAACTGGAACCCAGAGTCCCAGTCCAGTGCCTTAAAAATCAATCATCCTTCCTCCATATCTATTTTAGGGAACAATCTATACTTTATTATAGTCATCATCATCTAATTTGCAACAAATGGGGTAAGAGAAGATGATAGATATAGCCTATGTGAAGCAAACTACCTTGGAGAACTTTTTCAACCTACATTGAGTCACCATCTTCAACTGCTGGAGGAACAGTAAAGCACCAAAAGCAACTATAGGCATCTTAGATGTAAACAAAACAGACTAGGGGATGAAGGGAAACTAGCATCTATTGCATAGTAGGAGGTGATAGAGCATCAAGAGATAAGAACTGTCTTGGGAAAGTTAGTATAATAGCAGCAGACTGGGAGGTACAGAAGAAATAGCACCACAGGCGAGGCTGGGACAAGGAGACAACAGCAGAAATATCCAGTGATATTCTGAACAGAGTATCTATAAAAACTAAAGCAGGTGGTTATCACATTGGACAGCTGAATGCTGGGTGGGCAGAATTAAAGCGGCATGCAAACTAGAGAGAAAAGGTTGAGTTATTTCCAGAAGGGTTCGTTTAGTGACTGAAGGTGAACAGCATGGGGGCTGCTGCCTTGCAGTAGCATGCAGCAGAGGACATACAAGTTCATGTGTGTTTTTCCCCCAGTGTGGCTACAGAGAAGATGCTCTGAAAAAAATCTCTTCAAAGTGGCAGATTTGGTTCCTATTGGTTGTCGATGCAGAGGGCTGTTAGGATTCAGGTTCAGAATAGCTGTGTGTAAAAGAAGCAGCTGTTGCCTAACACATTAGGAAGGTGGTACAGGAGAAGAGGGTCAGAAGGGCTAGAATATTGGGGAAATGTCCCAGAAAATTTTAAGAAAGAGAAGTGCTCTGATTAAGCAGATAAAGGCCTTTCTCCCCCACCCCCTTTCATTTATATATTGCCCCTTTCATTGTACTGATGTGAGGGGAAAATGTAGCTCTGCTTCATGTGTTTGCATATGCCTGTAACTAGAGCCCTGCGCGGATACAAAATTTGTATCCGCATCCAATTCACAAAAATTATCCACAGATATCTGCGGATATAAATCCGCAGATTTGCAGGGCTCTCTCTGTAATGGGCAGCACCATGATGTGCAGGATAGCAGCAGTCCAGAAGAGGAAAGGAGGAACTCTGCTAGCTGAAAGAAGCAATAAGATTAATTCACAACAGACAATTCCCTCCCCACAACCTCAGAGAGCATTAATTATGCCTTAGCCTGACTGCTCCCCAGTGATGGTGAGTATGTTGGGTGTATGTACAGACAATTATTTGTTTATTTGCTTAGTTCCTTCAAAATGGGTGTTCACTGAGGAACTCTCAAGTCACTATTTGGCAGAGGATATAGACTAAGTCATCCAAACTGCACATTGTTCTGTAGGGTGGAGGAGCTGGAGGTGCTCACAAAGTAAAGGTCATGTGGCTAATGGAGGCAGTAGTTTTCAGCTGATGCTGCAGCAAGTGCCAATTAAAACATACTTTTCAGCTGTGTCATAGAAATAAACTGACTTTCTAGAAGGATTCTGTGTGGACCAAGGATTATCTCACTTCTGCACTCTGACCACATTCGCTCTTGGAAGTGTGGGGGAGGAGTGACGTTTTGCCCAATTAGTAAACGTTGATTCGGATAATATTTTATGCCAAATAAAATCTAAGAAGTGGGTGTTTAGTTCAAAGCCTACAGTTACTCTGGTACATCTCTCTCTGTCTCGCTCTCTCTCCTCCGCCCTCCCCCCAAAGGGGCCCTGTTATAAAGGGGAGGGATAGCTCAGTGGTTTGAGCATTGGCCTGCTAAACCTAGGGTTGTGAGTTTAATCCTTGAGGGGGCCATTTAGGGAACTGGGGTAAAAATCTGTCTGGGGATTGGTCCTACTTCGAGCAGGGGGGTAGACTAGATGATCTCCTGAGGTCCATTCCAACCCTGATATTCTATATAGCTAAAACTGTAATAAAGATGAAAGATAACAAAAAGGGATTAACAGAACCAGCAAACATGAAATTTATCCCATAGGATTTTGTTCATAAATACAGTAAGAATAAATATATTTGACTTCCCTTTGCAGCAAATAATTGCAAAGAATGATAATATTCAGGAAGGCTGTGTTCTCTGCCTGGGCCTACTAATGAATGGGATATGAGGTTTATTTTGATTTAATTAATTGAAGGAGCTTAGAGCTCATGAAAGTCAGAAATTAATATTTAATCTAAGCACTTTTCCAGTAGATGCTTTCCAGGCTCACTTTAATAGCTCGCCCAATGCACTGCATTTCTGACCAGCACTACCTCTCCTAGTCCTGGGCCTCTGGTGAGCAGATCTCTCTAACAGTCCATATTGTGTGGCAGTTTTATGATGCAAACAAGGGGGCTAACATGAGCTCTGAGAGGCAGAATTAGCTAGTGGGCTGACCAGGGGGGCTGAGTGCTAGGACCTCCAGAATTCTGGCTCTGACAAGGATTTGCTGGCTGGCTTTAGACAAGTCATTTAATCTCCTTATTTCATGTTTCCCCATCTGAAAAATGGGGATACCAATGCTCATCTGTCTCTTTACCTGCCTCCCTCCCAAGATATTATGAAATTAGTTAATGACTAAGCTGTGTTCTGAACTATTATTTCCACATATATCCCAAACTGAGATTTGAACTTGTTTTTACAGAAATGGGAGAGAGAGATACACAGAGCTGGTTACTATTATTTAGGTCACATTAGCATCTTGGCATTTTCCAACCAGCAAGGAAGACACAGTTCTTGTTCCAAAGACAGTGTAGCATCTGACAGGCAAGAGGTGGGAAAGGGGATACAACATACAACCCAGGAGATCAGGGTGATGACAGGCACAAGTCCTATTTCTTTACAAATATGAAACTTGTAAGTTAAACGTTAAGTTGTCCTTCCTCCACAATACTGCCTTCTTGTCTCTCTTCCACTCCAAAACCCAGTTTTTGATACCTCATGCCCTGTCCTCCCAACATTTGACATCCTCCTGCCACTAAATGAGTGTTTAACTCATAAGAAAAATACATGAAACAAATAAGTAGATGACTTAGACAGTTTCTTGTAAACATCTTGGAAGAAGTAAGTTGTGAGGAAGGATTTAAGACCTTGATTCAGCAAAGTGCTTAAGCAGATACTTAAGAAATCCATCCCTATTCAGCAAAGCACTTGTGCAAGTGCTTAAATGAGGAGAGGTTATTAGAACTGGTCAATAATATTTCAACATGACTTTGTTCCATCAAAATATATAGGCTGGTGGCTAGAGCACTTGCCTGAGATGTGTTTGTATCTCTCTGGCCTGGCCCACAAAATATTTAATTACTTTTACAAAGTGGAACAGCTCCAACAGGAAAGACTGGGAGAGAAACTGATTCTATAGCCTGGTGGTTAGGATGCTGACTGGGAATGTGGGAGACCCATGTTTTATTGGTTACTGGCCAGTCCTAGAGATTGGCTTTGCAGTAGCTCAGGAAGGTCCTGATCCAACAAACCACTTAATCACATGCTTAACTTTAAGCACCTGAGTACTTCCATAGGCTACCCTTCAGCCTGCTTCAGTGCCTTATTCGAACAGGGCTTTCTTGAGCTGGTCTGCAAACCACTGACCTCTCCCCATTTAAGCGTGTGGTTAATGCTTTGCTGAATCTTAAAACTTTCCCCAAGACTCACATTTCCCAAGATGCTTACAAGAAACTTGCTAATTAAATCACCTACTTATTACTTTATTTAATAAGTCTGTGTTCTATGCATAGTGGATGGGGTAGAAAAAAGTGTGAAGATAGTTGTGAGAGAAGCAGAGCCCTCTCTGCATTATCCTTCTTTGAAAAATATAGATATAAGAAAGGCTGAAGTACAGAATTCAGAATGACAACAGTTACAATTTCTGAGTAGTCTGGTTACACCAAATATTGAATGAAATATCATGAAGTAGAAGAGCAAATGCATCTCCTAGCAGCTATTTATTCAGTGCCTTAAAGAAATGTAGCAATAGAACAAAGTGAAGAATTTCCCATCAGAATAGTTTTCTGGAGCAAACTGACATTTACCAGATTGGATGAAAAGTTAACTTTGCGATTATTGTGCAAGAGAATAAAAGCTCCAGTGCTTTTAACTTCCTGTGTCGTTGTCCAGATGAAAGGCCCATTGCTAGGTGAACTGCAACAAAAGGTGGAGGAGACTGAATTGTTGAAGATGGAGCTACAGATGTTGGAGACTGAGAGAGTTAGGCTGTCACTGGTGGAAGAAAAGCTCATGGATGTTTTACAGCTTCTTCAACAACTTCAAGACCTGGTATGGCAAGAAAGTAGTCCAAAGAACGAGAACTGGTTTTGATGGTGTCCCTCCCAAACTGAAAAGGATGTTTGTACCTTACATTCAAATGCAAGGGTTCCCTTGCATGCAAGACACACAGCTGCACAGCTTTGCCACTGGAACCATCAGCTCCAATGGTTGCATTGCAGCAAAGACGAAAAGCCTAGAAGCTCTTACTTGTGACTTTCCAGTATAGATCTCCAAACTCTCCCCTCCCTCCAAACAAAAGTTTGGAATCATAGTAGTTTCAGATTTTCTAAAAATCCACTAAATCAGGTCCAAGCCCCTTTCAGAGCAGGATTTAGTCCTCCAGAAGAAAATGCATCAAATATTAAATCGATAGCGTAGGACCCCCCAAACACCCAGTACATCTAAGATGCTGTTCTTTGGGATCATACCTACATCACTGCATGGATTGCTCTGCAATGTGAATTTGTAAGGATTAGTCAATATTTGCAGAACCACATCATGATATTTTCTCAAAGGCTGGGCGTAGGTTCTCTTTATTTCAACTGTCTTCTGGAAGGAGTCTGCTGGCTTTCCACACTGCCCCAGCTTTAGAAATAAATGCCCTCACATCAGACTGACTTCTCTCTCCATTTGGAGTCTCTGGAGTGCACAAGTTAGGCCTGCTTGCCCCCACATCCACAGGAGATATTTTTGGGAATGGGTTAGTGGCAGCCTGACTGCCTTCAATTCAATAGAAACAGGTCTGAGAAATACTTGTCTGATCCTATTGCCACTACTTTAAAAGGCCTTTGCCTGGCACACTCCAGAATGCACCATGCATAGGTTATGCACCACTCACACATCCACATGTTATTGAAAAAAAGAAATGTAGGAACATAATCCTCCCTTACATTCCTATAACTCTTTTCATTCCCAAGCACTGAAATACCAGCCTGATGTACAGTCAGTGCTGGGCTGAAATGCAGCAGCCAGCGACATTACACAACAGTTCCTCAGTCTTCTAGCACATCTAACTGCATCATATAGGGACACTAGTGTAGCGAGAAGAGTACAACTTACTGAAGGAGCAAACCTACTCCCTGCAGCATCAGAGATGTTTTTGAGAAGCGTCTCATCCAAGTACTAACCCAGACAGGGGAATCACAGCACAAAGTGGTTCTTATTTAAAATGTGATGGGTCAGTCCTTCTTAAAAAGCTATTTTAAACCCCTGCTTCAGGCGGAGGGGAGTGGTGAGAATTAGCCAAGAGATGAGCAAGCTGGATAAGCTGTTGAACATGGGGTATGTTAGGAGCTGTACAAGTCTGCATTGCACTTTTAGGAGTTAATTTTTTGGATTAGGATTCAGGGTGTCTCCTGAATTTTCAGCAGAGCTGTACACTGTGTATTTAATTAGATTATTTGCGCACATAATGACTTCACCATGCCTGAAGTGTGCTGGTGTTCTACTCCTGACTCTGGGGAACAAATGCAGTATCTCAAATTATGTTACCTTACTTTAGTGCTTGGCATAGCCCATTTTATTTTCACATCCCAAGTCTGACACTGCTTGCCACATGGATCAATAACAATCCAATCCAATGAAGGATGTACTATTAAGCTGGCAAAGAATGACTGATTGTGATTGACAGCAGGCATAAGAACTTTCCGTGTCAAGACTTCGACATGTCATTCACTGGTCAGAAGTGTTGTTGAAAATCATTCCAGCTGAGGAGATGATCCATCACGCAATATGCTACATTGTTGTGAAAATACTGCTTGATGCTAATCATTGCTGGAAATATGCCTTTGTGTGTGGCCATGTTCCCTAGCTCCAGTGAATAAAGATGTTAATGAAAAAGATAATTTACAGGATCCCCTGTAGAGCCTGAAGAACATCCCATAGAGTCCTATGGAGGAGGTACGTTAGACAGATGAATGAGAAACTACAGTTACAGATGAATAAGCTTTTAAGGCTATATTGCCTCTGTAAATTCACCCTTATGGATACAGCATTCCCAGCATTACACAAGTGCAGGAACCTTCTAGAAAGCTGGGCCAGTCTGGAGCCAAATAAACATCCTCTTGCAGCACTGAATGTTCAGAACAGAGGTTATTCGAAGGGTCATGCAGTCCCAAACACCTGAGTTCCTGTTTTCACTAAACCCAAGGGCTATAGACAAGTAGGACTCTGAAGAGGAGGGGAAGGTGGATGGGACATGTGAATAAGCAGATGCAATAACACTTGAACTGCAGTTGTGAGTTGTGCAGTTGTCTTTTTTCAGGAATTGCTTCTGCCTATTGCCACTCCTTGGAGTTTAATCAAAACATCTTGCCTTCTCAGGTAGGTGGGCTGAGGGTGCTAGTTAAACAGACTGCAGGACTGCCTCTCCCCCAAATGAGAGTTAGGTACCAAGTTAAGAGAGTGGTGCTTTCTAAACACCATGTGGCAGCCTCAACCATTTTTAAAATGGAATCATTACAAAGGCAGGCCAGCTAAGCTGCCTTAGCCCTAAAAACTGGAGATACTCTCAATAACGTTTAATAGATCTCAATAGACAGCAGCCAAGAGAGGGACCTTCCCCAGCTGTTTCTCCTGAACAACACATGCAGTAACTGCCCCTAGTTTGTGTGTGCTTCAAATGGTATCATACGTTTCTGAAAATAGGTGGGGGGGACCTATTTCTGAAGCTTCACCCACAATCCATGTATTTGTATTGCCCATCTTTCAACACACAAGGGCTTTGCATGAGCCTGGCCAGGCCTTTGATAGTCCTGAGCATGCCTATCTCCTGCTTGCATTCCATGATAAGCACATGCATATGGATTTTCATGGCCACATGCTTTTGAAAGCTCAGCCCTGTACTCTCCATTTCCCTTTGAACTATTGCAGATTCTTATAGTAAAACCAGGAACTAAGGAACAGGGACACCCAAATCTGCTGTGCACTGTGCAGTTTCTGACTCAAAGATTGAAAAAGATTCCAAAATAAGACACCAGGTTATGAGGAATTAATTTTGTTTTCATTTTCAAATGCAAATCCGCTGTACATATATTTAGATTTTGTTGTTTATATTAAGCTGGTCAGGGAGTTAATTGTTCCATGATATTGTTTTGTGTTTTAAAGAGCATATCTAAGCGCGCCTTGGGGAAAATCTTGCTGAGCACTTTGGAATCCTGTCGTGACCCCCAACATGGTAAGAAAGTAAAATACGTATGAAGAATAAGAAGTGTGCAAAGTACATTTGTAATTCAGAGTCACTTGGGGGGCAGATTATATACCTTGTAAACAGTAGACAGAAAAGCAAAAAGTCATTCACTTTCAAATGGGGGGAAATTACTATGCAAGACCCGTACTAAAGCTGAAGGCTTCAAATCTTTGAAATTACAGAAACTGGGGCATCATGCCAGATTTTACCCTTAAGGTGAATTCTTCATCCCACTGAAATCAATAGGAGCCATCTGCACACATCCAAGGGCAGAAATTGCCCACAGGGCCAGATTTTGCCTTCTAAACACAGCAGCGTGGTTGCACAGGTATCAGAGAGCAGAATGTGGACTCCTCGTTTTTAGACTGACCACTCATCAACATTTACAATTCCATTGTCTAGAGCTCTTCTCTGCCTGACATAAAGAGAAGGTACAAAGGAAAGCAGCATCTTTCAGTAAAGTCAGTGGCTCTCCTTTAATAGCAGCCTTTTGTGTTCTTGTTACGAAAATTAAACTTGCAAACTCATCTCCCCGGACAATAGCCCACTGTGCAGGAGCTGCATATGGAAGAACCATGCAGGCTTCACAGCCTGGAGGTTTAAATTTGATTACTTTGTCCCTGTTAGCAGAGCTTTTGCATTTTCCTTCTTCAAAGAAGCTGGCATACTGTACCCAGTCAGTTTGCATAGGAAGACTGCCTGTAGGGGCTTTTAATAGGCAGAGAGGGGTCAAAGAAGAGATAATGAAAGGGTAGATGCAGCCTGAGGGTTTGTTCTGCAGAATACTACAAACAGTAATTCAGGGAAAGTAACATGTACAAAACGCGCTGGTTTCCACGGAGCCTTCTTGCCATACAAAAGGCTTGTCATTAGCATGCAGTGATTCAGTGTCCGGACATTCTCAAACAAAGTGGTGCCGCTCCAGCCTGAGTGTTTTGGGAACAGAGGGAAATGGCACAGCAAGCCCTTCTCCTGCCCCCAATGCACACACACAGAAGGCAGCCATACCTGAGCTGTAGGCCTGGGGAGCAAAAGAGAGGTGGTAGCTAGTGCCCTCAGAAGTACTAGCAGCTCCAGTGAGTACAGAGGAAGTGTTGGCAGTGCTCCATCTTATAGGATAGCTGTCCAGCACTTCCCACAGCACCCAGGAGGTATTAGACCTACCTAACAGGGAAATAATTACTCCAAGCAGTGTCGCTGAGGCAATGTGCCCACTCCCTAACTCTAGCACAGCTCGGCCTCCAGAGATGCATAATTGAGAACCAAAGTATTTAATGAGGGAAAGCTGATGAAGCCCAAATCAATATATTCTCTATCTGTTCTGCATCACTTTTGCTATAAACTCCCTATGTTTCCTCTGCTTTGGATTTCCTGGCTTTGCACTTGATGTGACATGAGCTGCTTTCCAAAATCTCTGTAGTCAAACATTCTCTCACTGTGTGAGAATGCTATGCCAATAGCTGATTTGATTAGCTACATTTCATTGATGTGACTTGAATCCAGTCTCCATTTGAATGATGAGTAGGTATTTAGACCAGCAGGGTGTACCCAGCCTTCAGGGATGGATTTCAAGAAGTTTAACTGCTGATGCAGTGCAGCACTCAGACAGCCAATACATTTCAAAAATCAGTCTCTGTTCACACAAGGATGAGGGGATTTAATGAGCAGAGAGTTTGCAGTAGGAGGAACTGAAGAAGACTCAGTCCCTGTGTACTGTTCCATTCTGTGTCCCTTTGATATGCAGAAGAATTCATTCTCTGGTCTCCAAATTCAGAATTCTATATTTGAAATTGTTAAACTGCATCTTCCTGGCTTTGTCAATATGCTAATATATTTCGTAATTTTCTTTTAAAGGAAAAGCCCACATTCTTGAGGTCCTAGATACTCTCTACCATGAGCTGGCTGCCTGTGAACTCCTACAAAGCAAGCCTCTAGAAAAAGCTCAAAGTCACCAGTCCTTGTCTAACCCACTGGTTATCTCTTGTTGAGCAACAGTGCCATCTACAGTTCATCGTGATTAGTCAAGTATCTAAAATCTTACCATGTTAAACAGAGGGTGGAAGAATAAGATTGCCAGATTTGGAGGAGTTCAATAATAAAGGGACAAGTTAGGACAACTAAGCCATGAAATCACAGGTATACTGCTCTGGGAAGACCTCTAATTCCTCAGCTAACTTCGCAGCTGTCCTCTATAAGTGTTCACATTTCATGAGAATTACTTAATGATGTCCATCTCTGAAGCCTGACAACCACCGCATTATGGCATTGTAACTGTACCAGTTCACCAAATGAAAAGTATTATAAATGCACTGACCAGCTCAATAGAGGAAAACCCCAAACTGAATAGCTGATTGTCGATTAGCTAGAGATTTTTCCTCTTCTGATAGCTGAACCAGTACATTAAATAGTGGAAGACAGACTAACTGGCTGACACATGTTGTTTTATTAAAGTACAAGAGACAAAATTGCTGTATTATAAAGATATATGCACACCAGTATATGCCAGTAGGGCAAGTTAAAGACCCATGTATAAATGTATGTGTTTGTGATTGTGAGTATATACCTTATTTAACTCTAGAGATACATTTATGTTTCTGTTCATGCGGATTTTGTATTTGTAATTACAAATCCATTAGAAGTGTGATTATGTTTTGATATTAATCTGTAACTGTCCTTGCTGATTATAATCTTAGATTTTATGTTAAACATTAAATTGCTCGGAAAAAAGTGAAGAATGATCTTGTTCCCCAAGTTGCCAGGAACTGGGAAGGCTGCAGAGACAGGGAGTGAAAGGAAGAAAGCTTCATATTACTCTTTCACCAGCCAACTAGCAAATGATATACATGTAAGACATTCCCACCCCAGATAGTCTAAGTGAGATTGTAAAGATACAAAGCAAGGCCTCATTTGCAGGCAAAGGGCTTGATGGAAGTAAAATGTTGGACATGCTCATGAAAGCATAAATTCTGGTCAGTAATAAGAGAATTCCCAGGGACAAATATAAGAGGACAATGTGTTGCGAAGTTGCTGTTGCTTCCTCACTCAATCATCAACAGAAGAAAATAAAAGGCAAATCTCTTAAGACATTCTACTGAATCTGTGTAATGAAAAAAGACGTACAGTAGGCTCTTCTGGGAATATGAAGAGAACTGGATTTACCTGAGATAACGCAGGGAACAAAAGGAGACAACTGAATTTAAAATTATGCAGATTAGAAACCACAGCCTTCCTAGGAAAAAGGTTTTTAGAGAAGGGCTACTAAGAGGATCAGAGGAATGGAAAATCTACCTTAGTAGAGGAGACTCAAGGAGCTCAGCTTGTTTAGTCTCACCAAACGAAGGTTGAAGGGAGATATGATTGCTCTTTCTAACCACATCAGAGGGATAAAACACCAGGGAGGGAGAGGAGTTATTTAAGTTAAGCACCAACGTTGACACAAGAACAAATGGATATACACTGGCCATCAACAAGTTTAGGCTTGAAATTAGACAAAGGTTTCTAACCAGAGGAGTGAAGTTCTGCAACAGCCTTTCAAGAGAAGTAGTGAGGGGCAAAAAAGCTAACTAAGCTTGATAAGTTTATGGAGGGGATGGTATGATGAGGTTGCATGCAATGGCATATGGCCCATATGCAACTGCTATAGCAAATATCTCTAATGGCCGGAGATGGGACATTAAATGGGGAAGGCTCTGAGCAACTACAGAGAATTCTTTCCCAGGTGTCTGGCTGGTGGGTCTCACCCACATGCTCCAGGTCTAACTGATCACCACATTTGGGGACAGGAAGCAATTTTCAGATTAGCAGAGACCTTAGAGGTTTCTTCACCTTCCTCTGCAGCATGGGGCATGGTTTACTTGCAGGTTTATACTAGAGTAAATGGTGGATTCTCTGGTACTTGAAGTCTTTAAATAATGATTTGAGGCTTTCAGTAACTCAGCCAGGAGGTTATGTGCCTGTTACAGGAGTGGCTGGGTGAGGTTCTGTGGCCTGCGATCTGCAGGAAGTCAGACTAGATGATCATGATGATCCCTTCTGGCCATAACATCTATGAGTCTATAGCAAAATGGCTCAAACCACAATCCCATTTATTTTGTAGGGTTTTTTATTTTGTAGTCCTTCGTTTTCAGACCACATTGTGCTTATTGTGCAGGTGGATCACATCATCTGTGTACTTTCCATCCAAAACTGTACATGACGCTATATCATTAGCAATGTGTTCATAACAAAAATTTGCAATAGATATTTTCCACTCCTTTCGGGGAAGAAAAAGGGTGTGGAAACAGTGAGCCAAATTCTGTCTTGTGTTGCACCAGTGTTACTTCAGTAGGGTTACTGTGGATTTACACTGGGATAGCAGAGAGCAAAATTTGGCCCAGTGAATATACATTTTTACATACATGCACATGCAAAATTAGACTTAGGGCTTCTCTACATGGTGGGGTAATGCTTTCTACAGGGGTTTGATTTCTACAGCATACTAGCATCTTGCACATTAATTGGTCGATGTAGACCCTGCTGGTGCACACTAAAGGTTCCCTAATGCACTTTAATGTAATACTATTTCAAACAGCACAGCATTAAAGTGTACCAGCGGGGTCTCCACCCAATCCATTAATTCACAATACATTAGGGTGCTTTAGAAATCACACCTCTACAAAGCACCCATCACGTAGACAAAGCCACAGATAGAGAGACAGTCGCAGTATAGGAGTCATCTTGCAAGCAAGGAAATTATGTACAAATATACAACAATGAAATATCAGATAAAAAGGGCACCATGTATTTCATGTTTGTGTTCATTTCCTCCAAAGGCCAGAACAATGAATCAGATCCTGCCCTGTGCATGCATTAAGAGGCAGAATTTGGTTTAGCATGACTGCTGCAAAATCCTTAAATACTGAACGGTAATTGTGTGTGTATTTGGTGGAAAAGGTGTGTAGGGAATCTGTTTATAATGCAAGTACATACCTGACTATATACTCCCGCAAATGTGGAAGGTATCCTCAGTTCCTTGAATGTGTATTACTAATAAGCTGTGTATGGGGGATGGGGGTGGGGACGAATACTATAATTTTTTTCTGCCATTAGGTTTCTACTTCACTTTCTAACATAGCCTAGGTATCTAAAACATTAAGTAGTCTGTTGTCCCAATTAGAAACTGAAGGAGCAGTGTAACTTAGATGCCCTGTAGCACAGACAAACAGCAATTAAGGTTAATTGGAGACAGAAAAGGTGTCTCTGTAATACAAGTTATTGCTGCCGCTAAGAGTAAGGTAAAAAGCAGGTGCTAACAGGAAGCTTTTGCTAATTTCATTGGAATGTAATGATTAGGTCAACATGGGAAGTAAAGGAATCTTGCCATGTGAAACTGTTTCCCCTTTATGGCAATATTATCTAATTGTAAAAGAAATGGATGTCTCAGAGGTACCGTTTGTTTGTGTCTAGTCATCAGGGTGTCCTGGCTGGTCCTATTGCTATTGGAACAAAATCTTGTCATCAGCATAACTGGACAGAATACTTGACTAATCCCTCTAAACCGGGATAGTCCAAGTACATCAGATCTTCCTAGTGAAAGAGGAATATTTAAAAAACAAACATTTAATATTGAATAAGATCGGATTTACTGTATCTCCATAGGCAGACTGCCGTCTTCAGTATAGACTGAGTGGCATTTCCATCACCAGCCCACTGCATGCTGAGTGTCTGAGGCAAAGCAGGGCACTGGTGATGCAGGAGAGCGACTTTGGTGGCCTAAAAAGAAAGGAAATTAAAATGCATTTTAATGCTTTTCCATTAAATATTTTTATACTCAGATCGAGTCAGTTGAAAGAGTGGATGAGGTTCCCAAACACTTCACACAAAGCTGGGCCAACTTATGGTTTTGCATCAAATGCATGAAAATTCAACAACTACTACTCAAAACCAGATGGAGCTTATCAGTTTCACTAGTTATCTGGAGTTTGTTCAAACCGCAATCTCCAAGTGAAACTCAAGTGGGAGGAGAGGCTGTGCACAAAGCCACACAGATTGTAACCAAAGGAAACAGTCACACTACCCCCAGTGAAGCAAACCAGTGTTGCCAACTCTGACCAATTTATTACAAGTTTTCTGATATTTGGCTGTCTTCTGAAAGCCCCATCCCTCAGAGTCAAGTGGGAGAATCTCAGCTTTTAATAAAACAAAAAGAAAGGAAGTTTCTTACCTTTAGGATTGCAGGAAAAATTTGAAAAAATGACCAGAGTATATCTTTAAGGCTCAGAAGAGAGAAGAAAAAAAAACTATTTTTTTTTTTTTAAATCTCATGGGTGTTTGGGAACTTGACTTATAACTTTCGAACAGAGTTGGCAATACTGCAAAACCTGCACATTTCACACCAGTTTTCAAGCCTCAGAACAGTTGTTATACACACCCTTGACTGATGTGTGACCTTAGTAGGACTGCAAAATAAACTGCCTCTGAACTGTTTTATCAGTGCCCTCACAGTATCATGCTCTGCACCCACTCTTGTGGCACAAGATGGTATAACCAGTACTTTGTGGTTGTGTGAAAGACTCTCAAGTTTTAAAACCAACCTTGTTAAAAAAATACAACCTTTTCCCTCACCCTAAAAAAAATAAATACACAGGATATAAATGCAGATCCCTCTTCCCTCTCCTCCCCTGTCAAAAAAACCCAAAACTAAGAAATAAAGCTACAAGTCCAGGACCAAATTCTTGCATGCAATGTAGTACAGGATTGTTGCCCTCTGCTTTGCTGTAGCAGCTGCCCAGGCCTTGCAAGTCAGCTTCCCATTGCAGGAGAAATCAGTAACGAGAAATCTGGATATATTCTAGGTGTACAAGTGCAAACTCTCCTGCTGCTTGCCCAGCTCTCTCTACCTAGAACTCTGTGTAACAGAATGACCACCACAACACAGCATCTTCCCAATACTGAACATTTGCTCACACACTAAGAAAAGGAACTTGGAACACTATGTGTAACAGTTCTACCAGGTGACACCTACTGTAACAATATAGTTTGGCTCTATTGTTATGCAAATGGAGACCCCTCACTCTAAAGTAGACTCCTACTACAATTGGAGACCCACCCTCACATCAAGCAGTTCTAGATTAATGTATACATTTGTATAAGCAAGACTTTCTTATAAACCTCCTTCTGTACAGCCATGCTGAGCAATACCCAACGTGTGTGGGTTAGGCCTTGTCTAAATGAGAAAGTTGTACAAATTTAACTAAACTGGTTTAGAAACTGATGAGTGTCCACACAAGGGGGTCGCACCAATTTAATTGGGGTTTGCACCAATTTAGTTACATCTATAGAATTTTTCATCATCATTTAACGTGTTTAAGCTCCTCTCTCCCCCCTTCCACGCTTATTTCTGATTCTATTAGGAGTAGATAGTAACGAGGTTTGTTTTCTCCCCAACTGTATCTGTTGAGTGAAACATCCTGTCATCTCGAAATTTGGACACTTCCTCAACCAGTTTTTCCCCCATAGCTAATTCTACTGGCCTTTCCCTCTTCTTCCATCACCAATCCTCAGAAAAATAAATTCACAACCTGCCAGGTTTAACTCTGACCCTGATGCACCCAATCCTCTCTTGCAAGGCTGCTTAAAGCTCTCTCACCATTCTCAAATCTTCACCCCAGCAAGTGTCAAGGAACTTGTTCTTTTACCTGAAAATTTGCATCTCCTGGAACTGACAGCTTGGCTCTTACAGACTTTCCGTATTATGATTTTGTCTACATTTCCAGCAGTGCAAAAGACCGACACACACCTCTCTCACACATTCCTCTGGGGAATACTACAGAAGAATTAGAAGGGAAGACGCTGAAAGAGCCATACTCTGTTTCACTGATGGCAGCCATGATTTATATGTCTGTATTCTTCAGGATGCGTGCTAAGATACTTGCCACAGAAACAGATTCAAACTTATCACCCACCTGGCTTTGGCCCCAAATGTTAAATCAAAGTCTTATTTTCTACCAATTTATTTACAGATGGTCCAGATAATATGGTATCAAGTAAGTTTACTGCACTGTCCATATACATTTATTTTCCCTAAATTCAGGAACCTATTTCTTTTTTAGCCCGATCTTCTCTTCTCTACAGACTGCCATTTTAAACATTTCTCAGCTATTCCAATTTACTTTTTGATTACTGGACGTCTTCACCCAAGTAAATCTTCCCAATACTTCATTCAAGTCTTGCTGCTGATCACTCTTCTTGATAACTTTGCCTAATTTCCTCCCCCATCCCACCATTTCTCTCCTTCTCCCATGCACTCTGTTTTCTTTGCAGATTATTCCAGAAAGCTGAGGGAAGCGGCATAGATGTGAGATCATCTCTGTAGGGGAACTGAGTGAAAGAAAAGTTCTTTATCTTTTTCTATTCCATCACAATAGTTATTCTCCTCATGAAGAAAGTTACACAAATGTATTATAGTCAGTATAACCAAGGGAATGGAACGGCTAGGCAAGGCAGCTGGTGTGCTGTGACTGTTGCTCATTACGTTAATCTTCATGGCCTCACCGCTACTTTGTGCTCCTGTGTGTTTGTTGAATCCACTTGTTGCGTCTCATCACATACATCAATTGTAAGCTCTCTTGGGCAGGAACCCTCTTTTTATTGTGTTGTACATGTGTATATAATGCCTAGTGCAACTGGGCCCTAATCCCTGACTAGATGCTACTACAGTGCAACAGTAAATAATAAGGAACAGTGCTTCCAGGGCCTTGTCCTTTTCAATACTTTTGCCTCAGGAAAGAAAAAAAAACAAAAAATAAGAAAAGAAATGGTCTTTGCTAGAATGTGGTCAGGCTTCCTTGGGCTTAATGACTCAAAATAAGTTCTCTACAGTCCCAGAGTCAAATTGGTTTCATGAGCAGCTACTATTTAATGATCCAGTATCATTTACATTAAAAATGGAAGTTTGCCTCAGCACAGAAATCAGAGTATTTTTTCCACTGAGCTCCAAAGTGCTCACATACCCACCAAGTCCTCCTAATTAACTTTATTCTCCACACACTCTCTTCCTTCCATTACCTTTCTCACTCCTGGCTAATCAGTGGCTCCGAAATGGTCAACGTACAAGTTGTATTCTTCCATTATAATTTCCTCCTACCAGTATTTCTAATCTATAGGAAATATAAATTATTGGCAGATTAAAGTCCACCTGACACCGCAGGTTATTCCATAACTGCCTATTGCAGGGTTTCTTGACCCTCCACTAAAGTACACCTCTACCTCAATATAATGCTGTCCTCGGGAGCCAAAAAATCTTACTGTGTTATAGGTGAAACCGCGTTATATCAAACTTGCTTTAATCCACCGGAGTACGCAGCCCCGCCCCCCTGGAGCACTGCTTTACCGCGTTATATCCGAATTCATGTTATATTGGGTCGCGTTATATCGAGGTAGCAGTGTATATAGTATTGGGCCCTGTCACAGACAGGACACTTGGTCTGATCAGTAGGGCAACTTCTATATTCCTAAATGTTCCAAAAAGATTGGTGGAGCTTGTACACAATTCAGGAACTAAATAGTTCTTTTGTTTTTGCATATAAAAGCTTGCATAAATGAAGCCACCACCCAGGTGGTGCAGACCGTTAATCCACTGTACGGTATGTTTGAATTATGACAGTCAGACTGCGAATGCTTTTAGACTTCGGTCTTTGTTTTAGTTTTTCTGGTAAAATAAAAACAACACTTTAAAATAATGGTGCATTAAGCAGAATTCCTTGCAAGTAAGTATGACAAAACACTCAGCATGTGTGAGACATCACATTACCACCCAAAGAGTTTGCTATAAAGGTAATAATTTCATGGAGGTTTAAGCCTTTTAAAATCTACCTCAATTTCTTTGCTTTATAATCTACACATAATTCAGTATTACACAAAACTAGTACAGTGCCCTTCTTAGTGTGAAATTTAATTGAATATTCCTGAAATATCATTTGCTTTTCCAGAGGCCTGGATTTTCAGCATTCTTGTCATGTTTCTGTTCTATATCTTTTGACCCTTTGTAACTCACCAGCATAATCACCTATATCTAGTGCTACCTGATGGGGTACCAGTGCAGCCTTTAAGGGCAACTGTGAAGAAAAAAATATGTAGGGCTGTCAAAAGATTAATAAAATTAATCACAATTAATTGTGAGATAAAAATAATCACGACTAAACAGTTTTAATTGCATTGTTAAACAATAATAGAATACTATTTATATTTGTTTATGTTTTCAAATATATTGATTTCAACTACAACACAATACAAAGTGTACAGTGCTCACTTTATATTATTACAAATATTTGCACTGTAAAAAAGACAGAGTTTTTCACTTCACCTCACACAAGTGCTGTAGTGCAATCTCTATCGTGAAAGTGCAATTCTCAAATGTAGACTTTTTT